TCATTCTGTAGTGACAGATTACTGAGAGAAAGGACCAGGAAATGAGAAATTAAGGAAAATAGGAAAGTTTGGGATCAGGAAGCCTTGCACAAGTTGATGGCTCATTCCAAGCAAATTTATTAAGTATAGCATCTTATATACAGTCTGAGGGGGCAATGGGAGAGAATTATCAGGAAACTATCACATAAGGGAAGGAACATGAGGCTGATCAAACCATGCTGCACGAAGGGAACACAGGATATCTCAAGTGTAATACACAGACCAAAGGCTCAGTGGTCTTGGGACTGACAACCACAGACCTTCAAGGAGTAGGCTCCTTGAAAGTGGAGTTCTAGGATCTGAAACCCCAAGGCCCTGGCCCCAGGCCATTGCTTTGCCAAGCACCTTCCTGGTTTTAGAAAAGGAGCTAAATTCCTTCTCCATACATCACAGCCTCAGGGAACGTCCTGGACTAGCTTGGCCCTCAACAAACCAGGGCATCTCTCAACCCTCCTCAGAGAGGCTTCTTTTTCTGTGGTATGGTGTAGCAGCTATTAATGGTTTGTTTGTTCAACAATTAAAGACCTACGTGATCTGAGTTCAGACCGGAATAATCCAGGTGGTGATTAATGCAGAAATCTACAGTTGGTCAAGGTGCAGAGAATTAGGAATTGTGGGTTGCTTGACTATGAGTGAGGCGTCTATATCACACACACACACACACACACACACACACCTACCTCAGGGTTTGAGGATCATAGTGGGAAAGGGGGCAGAAAGACTGTAACAGTCGGAGGGTGTGGGCACCTGAAATAAAACTTATACAGTGGCTGTAACTACGTACACAAGGCCTGTGCCGGATCAGGCAAGTCAGTATCCAGCATGGATGTGGGATGGGAATCATGAAATTCCCACTCTTGTCTAAGGAGCTATCGGCAGCTGATAATCACGAAAAGAAAGCAAGTAGGTTTCTCCAGGGATGCAGCCTCTGAGAGATTACCCATGATTCCATAGATAGCCCTGCCCATGCACACACAGGCAGCACTAAGTGCACTCAGTGGATGTGGAGTGTGGGAGAGAGTACATATGTGAAGTTTGGAAGGGAAAGAGATGGAGGAATAAGGAAGGAATTGAATGGTTAGGAATGGGGTTAGTTTTAATAAAAAGAAATCTATGTAATTTAAAAATAAAACATTCACAGACAATAAAAAATGTTTTCTGGAAGGAATGGGGAGCAGGTACATTAGAGGGGGCAGGAGGAGGGGCAGACACTGTGGAACAAGGTGGGGGCTGTCAAGGGATTGGCAGAAGCCAAGGCTGTCACACAGGCAAGAGGCCTCACTTCACAACCACCTCTCACAGACAATTCTGCCTGGTTCTGGGAAGGCACCCCAAACTCAGAACACCCCACCCCCATCCCATACAAAGCCTGTGCCTTTGTCGAAACACAAGGGTAAACCCAACAGCTGAGGCCACTCACCCGCTCTGTAATAATCTCCAGTTCTCCAAGCGTGAGCTGGAGGGCTGTGATGGCTGGCATTTCCTCCTTCCATGTGGGATGTCTGGAAAGGACATGCCTGCTTGGCAATGCTGAGACACTCAGGAATGCCAGTCTTGGCCTTCTCTGAAATTCCAGCACCTTCCAGGGCTCTTGGATCAGCCTAGGGTTTGCTGTTTCGGTACAAAAATGGTGTCTTCAAACAGGGCTTCTTCCTCTTAGAAACGGCAAAGGAGAAAACACGAAGCTTCCATTGCTCCAGGAGGGCCTCTCAGACCCCCCGCCCCAGCTCAGTGAGAGACACTGGACAGCATTGAAAACTTCAAGACACTCCCACCCCTCAGATCCAGCCTGGGCTTGCAGCAGACATCATCAATTGATTGAAGAGCCTCCATTTCCCCATTAAGCCTCCCTTAAATGAGCTCACCTGCCATTCCTTTGGCAGGGAATGTGGAAAGTCTCCTCATGAAGGGGAAGCCGGGAGGAGGCCCCTGGAAGTAGCCTGGACAAGAAGAAGCTGTGGTCAAGCCTTGCAGCTGCCGGCAGCAGTGTGACCGTGGGTGGGGCACGGCACTCCCTGGACCCAGCATCCCTGTTTGTGGATAAAGTGGTTGGACTGGATGTCCCAAGCGGTCCCTTCTAGTTCCTAGTGACTAGGTTACCATAGTCAGACACAGGTAACCAGAAAATGCTGGGAACTAGTCAGGGGGAGAGAGGAGCAAAGGTGCTCACAGCAACTGAGTTACAATGAAGGTGGACAGCCAGCCAATACCTCTGCCCTGCCTCAGTGGTCCAGCAGAGCCTCTGCAGCTCTAATCACACAGTGTGGAGTGGAGGCACACTGCAGGGTTGTGTGAGGGAAGCCTGTGGGTCACTGGAGGCCAGACAGGAGGCCCCAGACAACATAAAGCAAGAGAGAGAGAAAGGCAGGCTGCAAGGGCTCCCGCCAGACAAAGCCCGACCCATCACATACCAACTGACTTCCTCAAGCCCACTCCTGGGCATGTGGCCACCTTCAGGAACAGAGTGTGGTGTCTTCTGGCAGGGTGGGGCTCCAGAACTCACTCCTTCACTGAGGGAAGCTGTCACTAAGTGCTAGTGTATGTTCTATGCTGGGGCTGGGGGAAGATGACGTGGCCTCAGCAAACAAGGTCATCAAAGGCACCAAGGCTGGGACTCGGCGAGCACCACATGGGCCAGGAGCCCCACGGTGTCACCTAAGCCACAGCCAGGATGCTATAGTCAGATACTCGCATGAGGCCACTGACAAGATTTTGGCTTTGGTTTTGTTTGTTTCTAGTTTTCTGTTTATTTTTGTAAAAATGTTGGAACCTGGGTCCTATGCGGTCACGTTTGGGGATCTGGAACTAGGGAGGCCCTTATCAGTTGTCAGCTTTGGGATTCAGACTCCAGCTGTGCGCAAAGAACAATCCAGAACCTTCTTCCTGCAGCTTTCCCCCCTTTCTAAAGGAGATGGGAGTAAGCAACCCGGTGTCCAGGCTCCTCAGCTGTTCTGTCCGCCCCAGCACTGTGCAAAAGGACCCTGAATTTTCCTGCCTCCTCACTAAGGGCAGCCAGGGGCTTGAGAACCATCCATAAGATGCTTGTATATGAACGCACTGTTTAGCGCTCAGGCATTCAGGAGGGAGTATGCCCTAAAGACTGACGACTACTCTCCAGAGCTGAGTGTGTGGTGACCACTGAGACCCAAGGAAGGCAGACACAGGACAACTCTTGAGAAAAAGGGTGGATGACTGTCAAGTTCTGGGGGCGTGGATTCCTCCCAAGGGAGCCTGTGGTTGTGTCCCTTGCCTTTGAGTGGCAACTCTGATGTGTTGGGTGCTAGGCCCCATCTACTTGTGCGGTCCGGTATGGTTGGGTAGCATCTGGAGCCTGCTGGAGCCGGACAGCCGCAGACTTGGCAGTCCTTGACCGACCCTCTGCCAGGGGGATGGCCTCATCCACAGTCTCCTTCAGCTCTTGGCCCAGGGCACTGTGTTGCCTCAAGCGCAAAAGCTGCCACAGACCTCGGCTCTGCTCTCGCACAGCAGAAGTGCCCCAGCTGCTGTGCACAGCACAAGCCAGGCTTTGGGGAACGAGGCTGCTGCCCTCGCCAGTTGCCACCTGCCAACAGGGAAGGCGGGTCCCTGCACACTCACGCGTGTGAGGCTGAGTGTAGAAATCTTATCCTGTAGAAGGCTGGGACCCGGAGCTCTAAGGTCAAAGCAGACTGGTTTCCCAGCTGTGGAGGGCTTTGGCTAGAAGGGGACGTGTGGGTGAGGGGATGGTGAGAGCTTCTTACGGGAGCCTTTGGAATGGCGCTGGAGAGACAGTGGGTAAAGTGCCTGCATGCAAGCATTAGGATCCGAGTTCGGATTCCCAGCATTTCCACAAAAAGAAATGGTGCAGTCGTGCACACCAGGAAGCCCTGGGGACGGAGACAGGCAGATCCCAAGAGTCAAATCCTGAGCTCCTGGTTCAGCGAATAAATTATCTTCAAGGTGGTGACTTTTATTTACAACATGCAAATGATGTCCCCGTTCACCTTTTAGTTCATGGTTACCATGGTGTCACATGCCTAGAAATCCAGCACTTGGAAAGAGGAGGCAGGAGAATCGGGTATGAGGCGAGCCTGGTCTACATGAGAATGCTGTCTCAAAACAAGAAAAACTCAAGATGCTGGAGAGGCACAGCGGTTAGAGCGCTATACAGTTACTGCACACATTTTTTAAAAAATATATAAATAAATGTAAATGTTTCAATTCACATGCAAATTTTAAAAATATTAACTTTATGTGCATTTGGTATGAAGGTGTCAGATTCCCTGGAACTGGAGCTACAGACAGTTGTGAGCTGCCATGTGATGGTAGGAATAGGAACCCAGGCCCTCCAGGAAAGCAACCAGTGCTCTTAGCCACTGAGCCACCTCTCCCCTCACATACAATTTTAAATGCTACTATTTGGCATTAAAAGGAGACACTCTGGATCATGTCTTAAATAAAACCCTTTCAGGTCAGGTGCATTGACGTACACCTTTAATCCCAGCACTCAAGAGGCAAAGGCAGGTAGATCTCTGTGAGATCAAGGCCTCTCTGGTCTACTGAGCGAATAGAATCCCAGAACAGTCAGGACTGTGGAGAGAGACCCTGTCTCAAAACAACAACAACAGCAGCAACACACACACACACACACACACAAAAAAAAACTAAATAAAACCTTGTCGATCCTCAAGAGAAAAGAGATGTAGAAATGAGTCCCCTCCAGGGACACAGACAGAGGCCAAGTTTCCCCTTAGTAAAGGAGAACCATGAGTAGCTCTTTAAATATGGCTGGAGAAATGGCTCAGTGGTTAAAAACACTGGCTTTTCTTCCAGAGGACACAGGTTCAAATTCCCAGTGCCCACACGGATGGCTCACAATCATCTGTAACTCCAGTTCCAGGGATCTGATGCCCTCTTCCGGCCTCCACGTGCACCCAGGCACACACACGGTGCCCAGACATACATACGGCCAAAGCATGTGATAGTTTCACAAATAACATTTATTGGCTGCATTCACAATAGACTTGTTTGGACATTCACACCAGGTCCCCTTCAGCTATCAGTCACAGTGGTGGCTTCCAGTTCCGACTGGATCGTGGGTGCAGGTCTTATCGTGTGTGGAAACAGCGAATGTCTCAGACCCTCCTGCTCTGAGGGCTTCCCTTGAGGAAATGATCGTGACTGACATTCTTGCTGAAGATCATGACAGTGGCTGAAGACTCCACCTCAGTCCCAGAACAAATGGCTAGAAAACCAAGAGAAAGGCAAGTGCTGGGAACTGTCCCCAGGCTGAGGGCTCTCTCTCCTGAGCATAGGCTTGCCAGGAGCCTTCACAGAGAGGATTGTGGGGACACCCCCTCTACACTCGGGAACTGGGGAAGTGGACCGGGGTCAGCGCAGCATCTCTGATTCCCAGCTGTGGGTCCCAGTGAGCCTCTGACCTTAAGTGCCCACTCTCAGAAAGGGAGGAAACACCTAACTTTATAGAGCTGGAGGGAAGGGCTCCATAGCACCTTTGCCACTTCAAAGGCTCTGAGCTGGACTCCTGGCCATTGAGTGTCTACCAGGCCACAGGGACAGCCAGGTCTGTGACGTGAAGGTTCACGGGGCTCCCCACATCCCAGCTGGACAGGGGGCTGGGCCAGCACCACTGCCCCCAAGCCAGGCCTGTGAAGTCAAGGACACCCCTTGGAAGAGCCTTACAAGTGTTGTCACCGTGGCATCCAAGGGCTCAATGCTCTTTCAGTAAAGGATGCAAGACAAGTCTGGGGCAGGATGCTGGTGGCAGGGACTCGAGATTCCAGAGTGAGTGAGGAGTCCAGACCCACCCCTTCTCAACACCCCAGCAGCTCACCGAATGACCATGATGGCCCTCAGGACAGCCTGCAGCAGGGTCAGGAGATTGAAGCTCACGGGCAGGAGGGAGCCTAAGCCGCCAGCATGTGGCTCATCCTCCCGAGGGTCTGGCAGCTCATCTTGATAAAGGGCCTGGAGCTGCTGCCACTTGAGGAGGAGACGCCGGTCCCCACAGACCCGCCAACAGCCGTGCCAGCTGCTTGATTCCAGAGAGCACTCTAGGGGCAAGAGGAGCACTGTTGGGGATAGGGCAGGACACCTGCTGGGGTCCCCAGAAACCCAGGGCTGTGAGGCTGTGGGGAACTGGCCCCACCCAGCCTGTGCAGCCTGTGTCAGGGTGGTGTCTCAACAGACAGTTCCTTCTTGTTTGTCTGTTTGCTTGTTTTCAAGACAGGGTTTCTCTGTGTAACACTGGCTGTCCTAGAACTCACTCTGTAGACCAGACTGGCCTCCAGCTCCCTCTGCCTATTAATAGAAATATAAGCCTTAATTTTATCATAATCGTATCAATACAAAAACACTCTTAATATACAATATGATAAATGCACTCTCGTTCTGGAAAAAAATCCCACCACAGTACAGAGCAGAAAGTCATGGAACCTTCTTTGTTGAGAAAACTGTAAGATAAAAATGTGTCTGAGGATGTCATTTAGCATGCAAAAAGTCCTGACTTTTTTTCAGGGTGCGTGTATGTGCGTGCACACACACATACACACACACTCACACACACACACACGCAATCTTCAAATGGAAACCTGTTGGATTTGAAACCAAATCATGAATCACACTGATACGGAAGAAGGCACAGAAGTGTGGACAGGCTGTCGTCCTGATTCCGCCTCTGAAGTCTCCTACAGTGAACAGGTGAGAGGCTTGACAAACCTCTGTAGGTCACCTGAACTGAGGGGCACAGTGAGGTGCCTGCAATCCCTACCACAGGGGAGGCTGAGGAGGGAGGGAGGACGGCTTGAGCAGAGGAGTTCACACAGTTGGGGCAACAAAGGAAGAGCTCATCTTGAAAACAAAACAATAAGTCACTTCAGCTAGAAGGCACGACTGGAGGAGCTGGAGAAAGAGCTCGGAGACTAGACTGTCCGATTCCCAGCAGCCACGTAAGGGCTCACAACCATCTGTAACTCCACTTCTAGGGGATCTGATGCCCTCTTCTGGCCTCCATGGGCACTGCAGGGATGAAACACTCATACACATAAAATAAAAGTAAGTCCTTAAAAAAAAAAACAAAAACAAAGTGAAGACATGACCGGAGTAAAACAACACTGACTTTGAAAATCTATCAACCCTCCCTCTGCACCCTACATTTGTGAGGACATCCTTTTGTGTGGCTTCCTAGGACCCGATTCTCCGGGAGCCATGTGTCCTGGGGACGCGTCCATTGGGTCAGTGTCACTGTGACTCAGAGTTCTGTTTCCCCATAGCAAGAGCTGCCTGTCAAGGACAGCCCACGCCATCTATTCTACTGAGACGAGCTCAAGGCACCCCAAGATTTTGCTGTGACATTTCCCAACACTGATGAGAGTGCTGAGTGTCCTCGGGCTGTCCCCAACAAATGCTATGCTTCAAACTTGTTGCCTTTAAGCTGTGCCTGCAGGGCTGGGAGAATCTACACTCAGGGGAACAATGTTGCTTCTGGGGTTGGGAACGGGACGTTCTGACACGTTTAAGGACAGGTTGGTTGGTGGCTATCCATTTCCCAAGCGCTTCTTACCCTTTCCTTCCGAAAGCTCCTGGCACCTGCCTTTTCAGAACGGTGTCCCCAGCCCAGGTCCTGCACACAGCATTCCCTGTGCGGCACTGGCACAGAGCAGAGTGGCACCTGACACCAGACCAAAGCCTGGACTTCAAAATCAAGTCCAGAACAGAATTCAAAACTCGTAAGCAATGTGGGGAAGAGATTGTCTCTCCCAGAGATCTGAGCCATGGCGGTGTGTCTGAGGATAGCATCTGCAATGTGTGAGTGTGCTGCCAAGTGTGTATGTGCATACACTGAGCATGTGAATGTGAGCATACATTATCAACCATGAACACGGGAATGCACACATGCCAGGTCACATGCATGGGCATATGAACACACTGTGCAGCGCGCACACACTGTTATGATTGTATAAGGCATGCACACATGTGTGTGATACAGGAGCTGTCACATCAGAAATACACATCGGTGCAAAAGTGAACATGTACACATGCTATGGACCACAGGTCACAGAAGTTCACAGCTTAAATAAAACCACTTTACACGTCACCAGCCGCAGCTTGTCACTGCTAAGACTGCTGGCCTGCTGTGTCGTTTGTAAAAAGGCAGCGGGCAGCTAGTGATGCCTGGCAAGGGTTAGAGATGGCTGTGTCACCTGTGTGGCCTTGTCCCGCCCCTTTCCAGGGCGGGATGAGGTAACACATGACGTGGAGTTACCTGGGGTGTCTTTAATGTTCTCCAGCCTCTTCACCACCTAAGAGATGAGAAGGTAGGTCAGTATGTCATCTGGTGATCCACAGTGGGGGACAGGGGGAGTGGTCAGGACTTGAGACCTCAGGGCAAGGGGTGTTGTAGTTCCCGGTTCAGGATTGAGTTCTTGATGCTGGGGATCGCTTACTGATCAGTGATGGAGAACCCAAAAGTAGGAAGGCAGGAGAAGAAGAAAAAAAAGACTTCTAAATAGGAAGGCAGAATACTGGGAAGGTCCTCTAGGCTGCAGGAAGCTTGGTTGCAGCCAACCCTGGCTTGGAACTGCAGCTGGGGTGCAGATGGCTCCAGAGGAAGGAAACCCGGAGCCAGAATCCCTCCCAGTAACCTCCAAGGAGTCTAGACAGCTCCAGAGAGATGGGGTTGGGCACAGGGCATAATAGGAAGAAAGACGGAGGAGGAGACAGCAAAGAGGAAAAGATGCAGCAGGCTGGATATCACGTGACCTCTCACTATGCTCAGAGAATGAGGCTTACACTTCCCAGCAGCCTCCACAAGATATGAACTTCTGTCCTCAGCTGCCCACGCCGTGGCCACTAGGGAGGAGGTGGTCCCTTGGATTCCTCCCCTTCCCACCTCTCATTCAGTCCTGTTTCACAAGCCCCCTTCTTACCTTCTTCTGTGACCTCAGCCCCTGGGGCACCCAATAGGGCATAACAGCCCTATCCCTGGGCATCGGAAGGCGGCCCCCAAAGCAGTGGCAGGGGCAACGACATGACCTTATGGCTCTGGGGATAGAACACCGCATCATCTTTGAGACCTACCAGTGAACAGGAAGAAAGGTTCAAAGGGGTGAGGGGGCGCCAGGTATGGTGGCACATGCCTTTAATTACAGCATTCAGAAAGCAGATGGGTCTTTGTGAGTTTAAGGCTAGCCTGGTCTACACAGGAAACCCTTGTCTTTAAAAGGGGAGGATATAGCCTAGCTTGCACAGTGACCTGAATTCCATCTCCAATGGCACCAGGCACAGAAACCAGCAAGATGGCTCAGCAGGCTGTCTGCCCTGTCCTCCTGTGTTCGATCCCTGGGACTCACAGTGGAGGAGAGAGCGGACTCCTGTAAATTGTCCTCTGACTTCTACACATGCCCCTTGGCACGTGTGCACCCCATACACACATTCATACATACAACCTAATAAATAAATAAATGTAAAAAATATTCCAAAACACGCATGGTACTTGTGGTAGTTTGAACGGGAATGGCTCTTACAGGCTCCTGTGTTTGAGTACTTGGTCTGTACTTGCTGGGACTGTTTGGGAAGAATTAGGAGCTGTGTGGTCTTTTCTATTCTTTTTTAAATTAATTTATTTATTGGTATTTTATCCTTTTTGTGGTTTTTTTGTTTGGTTTTTGGTTTTGTTTTGTTTTGTTTTGAGACAGGGTCTTTCTATGTAGCCCTGGCTGACCTGAAACTCATTATGCAGACTAGGCTGGCCTCGACAAGAACTTCCTTGGCACCTTGTCCATGGTAAATGAACTGTCTAGAAGCCTGTGGCAGGGACGAGAGGTAACTGCCCTTCTACCTCTCCACCCAAGTCCAGGTAGCTCTTTCTGAGTTCCTTTTGCCCTGGAGGATGAGGGCATGGCCTGATTCATGGGTGTCAGTGCCCTGCCCCTCAGTGAACTGCTCTCAGTGGGCATGGTACCCACAGGAGAGAAGCAGGCGTGGGGGAGATGGGAGGACACTCCAGACCTAATACACACAACACACGAATGAATTTCAAAAGAACCATGCAAGCCAAAGACATGGTTTAGCAGGTAAGGGTACACAGCCAAAAGCCTGACAGGAGTTTGATCCCTGAACCCTGCATGGTTGAAGGAAAGAGCCAACCCCCAAACATAGTCTTCCGGTCTCCTCAGGTGTTACCATGGTGGCACATGTACACACAGACACAATGAAAAATAAACAAAAGAGGCAGAAGGGAAGGAGAGGAAGAAGGTGGGCAGGGACTGTTCACTCAACAGAGAGTACTTACCTAATTGGTCCAATCTCCAACTAAAACCACAACTGTGCCCCAGAAAGCTCAGTCATAGACTACCTGTGGTTCTGATGGGCTCTGGATCTGGACATGTGCCCTGGCCCTAAGTGACGAACTACTACATCACTTAGTTACCTGCTTTCGTGGTCTCAGAGACAGAGGGACCCAGTACGGTAGCAGTGCATCAGCCCAGGGCACGGGCAAGTGGCCCCCAAACCTGGCATAGCATTGGCAACACATGCACTCCTGGAGGGCGGTGTGGAGACCGGGGTACACCTGAGCAGAACACACAGAGGACAGAACTAACCAGCTGGCCCCTGAGCAAGGCACAGGCCAGAACTAAGCGTGAAAGGCATTTTGACAGGAGCGGAGGACAGCACCCAGGGGAGGGGACAGTTACTCAGGTCCACCTGTGGCTCAGGATGAGACTGGCTACACGTCTGCCAGTTTGTGTCTACAAGCTGGGTTGGGGGAATCCTGGCCACTCACTGTTGCCTCACTGCGAGCAAGTTTGTCTATGGAAGATTTGAGTCAGGAGAAAGTGACTACTCCCTGATAGGCCTACAGTTTTCTACATGATGTTGAGGCCACCGCCTCCGCTATGGGGCAGATGAAGAAGCTGGTAGGCAGGGTGAGTCACTGAAGGGGCTTCTGGGTTTCCTGGGGAGCCTGGTCCCAGGAGGGACGAGAAGGGAGGAGGTGACGCTACACAGAAATATGGGAGCAAAGAGATGACCCATACAAGCCCATGCTTCCATGAGGGCCACACCCAGGACCCTCATCTCCCCACTTTCACCCATAGGAGGGACATAGGAGGGACGGGGGCTGAGGACACGTCCTTACCGAGTGACCCGTGATGCACACCTCCTTTCCGAAGGTCTGAAATGAACCCTTCCTAGAAAATAAACACACACAGCTGAGAGTGTTCTGGGATCTGTACAAACTGTAGGCTGGGCACTGGTGACCCTGGGCACTAAGCTCGGTGTGGAGAAGTCTTCCCTCTGAGCCCAGGAGGTGCTTCGGGGTGACAGAGGGCAGGCTCACTCCCAGGATAACTTCCCCACTGGTATAGGACCCTGTGTTCCCAAGCCAGTTTGCTTAAATACACCCCAGTTAAAGCCGGGCTTGGTTCTCAGGACAGGCCTAAGGACAAAACTTCCCAGGATTCCACTGAGGTTTTGTTGGGGATACACAAGCTTGCTGCAATAAGAGGGAGAGCCCATCAAAACTGCTACAAAAAGCCAGGAGACCTGGTGACTTTGCCTCAAGGAAGACAGGACAAGACATAGGGGCACAGAGAACAGAACAGAGGGGGACAGAGAATTGAGGGGGGCAGAGCAAAATGAAGGGGAACAGAAGCAGACGGGGGGGGCACAGCAGGACAGAATTCTTGGAGTAATAGTTACTTTAACCCCCCCATCCCAGCCACACACTGCCAAGATGTTGGCCATGAGAATCTCTGGCATGTAGACATTGAATTCTGCGCAAAGTTGATTTTTCATGGTGGGTGTCACCTTGCTTCGTGTCAGAAAGCACACTATCTGAGCGTTTTTGTGTTTCATTATAATCAGCCATCATTGTCTGCTTTGTTTAGTTGAGGCAGGATTTTGCTATTTAATCCAGGCTTGCCTCAAGCCCATAGCAATCCTCCTGCTTCAGTCTCCTGAGTACTGAGATTACAGGAGTGTCAGGGTATGCTTCGGGCCTCTGCATTCAATTTTCCTACTGATGACTGGAAACAAGACATGGGGCTGCCCTGCACAGCATCCAGCCTCAGAGACTGGTCACTACAGCCTCATAACCCTGGAGACTAAATTTGGAACTGCCTCTAGGCTCCTTCTTTGATGAAGGAGCTCCCCTAATAACAAGGAAAACCCCATGAGGTCTGGGTGGTCATCTAGCCTGGGAAGGAAGCCAGCACAAGGGGAATGAGGGTTGAGGAGAAACCATGTAGGGCCACAGTCCTTGCACACCTGAATACAGCCATGCCTGAAGGCCTGCTCCTGACATTTCCAGGGATGGAAAGAGTAGGTCGCCTTTCCGTTTCCTTGCCACTGCGCTACCGCTGAACCGGGCGGCCCCGGGGCTCCAGGCACTCACAGGTGAGCTTCGAGGTCACCTGTGCAAGCTCTGGGCTGACCTGATCTGTCATGATGGGCTGTGCTAGGCATGCGCTATGCAGCCGTGTCGGACCAGAGCCAGGCTTGGTCCAGAGTCCTCGCAAGGGCTGGAGGGTTGCGGTGCTTCGCAACAGCTTCCCGCTGGAGCCGCTGATTGGCCCTCAACCAACCAATCAGAAGCTGTCATATTTGGTCGTGCACTGAGCTGACAGCTGATTGGCTACTCTCTGCAGCGGCTCATGGGACCTGTGGGATGGAGGGGACTCTGGACACTTGGGTCCTGCTCCCTTTGCACTCGCCGCCGGAGTTGACGTGGTGTCCAGACCTAGGCCACTCACCATTTCCTGTGGATGGTCCTATGCGCGCGCAAGGCACCCCGGTCCCGGTCCGGACCCTGTTCCCGACCTCGGTCCCCTGAAAAGAGACAGGAGGTAGGACAGGACTGGGAGTTCCCATGAGCTACATTCCCTCTGAGGGCCTCTGATATCTGGGACCCACTTCTATCCAGAGCCATTCGTTATTAAATGGGGTGAAAGCTCAGTAAGCCTGGGCTTCACATGCCCGTCAGATGTGCGCGAATTGTAACTTTAAAAGAAATGTTTCCATCCAGAGCTTTGGGAAGACCAAACATAGCGCTTGGAGTCAGTGAGATGGCTCAGCGGACTACGGCGCCTGCTGCCAAGCCTGAGGGCCAGAGTTCGATCCCGGGACTCACATGGTGGAAGGCGAGGACTCCCGCAAGTTGTCCTCTAACAACCATGCGTGTGCCGGACACATCCCGCCCACCTTCCCCGAAACAGCCAGCCCACAGAATGGGAGAAAATCTTATCCAGCCGTACTTCAGGCAGGAGCTAAAATCCAGAATTTACAAAGAATTGCAAAAGTTAAGTATCAAGGAAACAAAAGTTGCCAATCAACAAATAGGCGGATGAAGGGAACCGATTTCTGCCAGGTGGCTCCTTCCAGTCCCATCCCGGAGCTGCCCTTAGCAGAGGAGGGGAATATGGAATATGGAGGAATTTGCCTCCATACTACGGCGGTGACCATTCCAGAACACGTCCCTACAACCGCCCTGTAGGCCCTGTGGGGTCCCTGGGCTTTCCTTCTCTTCTCTTTGCTGGGTCACCTCCTCATGACCGCTTCGAATCCTTGTGGAAGGGTCTGCCACTAGCGGATCCCAAATTGAACAAGCTCTTCCCAGCGACCTTCTGACAGCCACACCCAAGAGGGGCTGCTTGTCCCACAGTCCCCAGGCCTCGCACTGCTGCAGCAGTGCCATAGCTGGCAAATGTCTTAGAGACCTGGTGGGCTGGGTTGGGCACCCCAACTCCCTTGCGTGCAGGAATGCTGACTGATGCAGCAGCGTGATGGGCCTCTGCTCCTAACAACAAGAAACAACAAGAACATCCCGAGGATGCGAGAAAGGAGAAGAAAGGATGGCCACCACAGCCATGCTGGACAGTACAGCAAGCCCACGGCCGAGGAGTCTGAGCTGCAGGAAAGGTGCCGTCCCAGCTGCTCAGGAGGTTGAGCTCAGAAAGCACTGGAGAGCATGAGGGTTGCCAAGAATTCCAGTTCTGAGGGAGGGAGG